GGAAGCAAACAAGAGACAGAAGTATTCGAATTGTATTAGACACCGAATTTATAGCATTGGAAATAATTACTTTGAAAATCATGAATCTGAATTTTTTTGCTCCAAATTTATCTATGTGAAATAAAAATGTAAAAATTCAAGTTAAAAAAATTTGAATGTTCAAATTCAGATCCCAAAAATTCAAGTGAAAAAAATTCGACGTCAAATATTTCGGTGTTTAAAATTCAATGTCAAAAAATTCGGTGTGTAAAATTCGATGTCAAAAATTGCGATGCATCATCATCCGGGCTACTCAGACAGGATAAGCAATCGAGCCCGGCTTTGTCAGTCATGTGATCACAACAACCCGGGAGAAAAATGATTGCCAGTAAGCTCCGTAGTTATCATTCAAGTGAATAGCGACGTTACCGTGTCCTCGTGTGTGTGTGTGTGTGTGTGTGTGTGTGTGTGTGTGTGTGTGTGTGTGTGTGTGTGTGTGTGTGTGTGTGTGTGTGTGTGTGTGTGTGTGTGTGTGTGTGTGTGTGTGTGTGTGTGTGTGTGTGTGGTGTGTGTGTGTGTGTGTGTGTGTGTGTGTGTGTGTGTGTGTGTGTGTGTGTGTGTGTGTGTGTGTGTGTGTGTGTGTGTGGGGGGGGGGCGGTGAATGATCCCGCCTGATGGTTTTCAAAGTAACGTTACGATACATAACGTCTCACTTCGGTTAGATAAGTCAAATTGACTAGTTAAAGGGGGTGTAAGAACATCCATAAGTTGTTAGAAGTAATCCTGGTGAATGAAGTTTTCATATCATTTACTTCAGTAAAATTACTAGTGCTACATTGTACAAAATCTCTCTTACTGCATTTAAACATGTTAATTCAAGTTCAGTAAACTAATTCAGTTAATTAATAATAGTTCAGTAATATTTCCATTTAGCGTGTGATGTTTTTCTGTGCCATATTTGTGTTAACAGGATAGTAATGCTGAGATTCTAAGATCAGTCCGACGCTTGATGTCCTTGATAAGCCCGTCTGAAAGAGGAGGGATTGCAGCTAGTGGCAGTGTCCCTTGCCCCAGTCAGGAAATAAGGTTAAGTGTTAAAAATACACTTATAATTACGTACACATTTAGTTAACTTAACAATTACAGGCTTTGTTTACTGATTATTTTTGGAAACAATCCTGCAGGGAACAGAGGTCAGGAGGCCAGAATGAGAGGCCAGGAGGCCAGAATGAGAGGCAAGGAGGCCAGAATGAGAGGCCAGGAGGCCAGAATGAGAGGCAAGGAGGCCAGAATGAGAGGCCAGGAGGCCAGAATGAGAGGTCAGGAGGCCAGAATGAGAGGCCAGGAGGCCAGAATGAGAGGCAAGGAGGCCAGAATGAGAGGCCAGGAGGCCAGAATGAGAGGCAAGGAGGCCAGAATGAGAGGCCAGGAGGCCAGAATGAGAGGCAAGGAGGCCAGAATGAGAGGCCAGGAGGCCAGAATGAGAGGCCAGGAGGCCAGAATGAGAGGCCAGGAGGCCAGAATGAGAGGCCAGGAGGCCAGAATGAGAGGCCAGGAGGCCAGAATGAGAGGCCAGGCCATCAGCCACCAAGACCTTCTCTTCAAATGGAAATGACAAGGTTCATAATTAGATTCTGCACATTAACTTGATCAGATAAAAATTGATAGTATTAGTAATTATATATTTATGTAGATCACATTTTAACCAAGGCTGGGCAATATATTGATTTATCGACATCTTGATTTGAGTCTAGATATCATATTAATAATAAGTGTCTTGTCCAGGTTTTAAAGGTTGCATTACAGTTAAATTATGTAATTTCTGAACTCATCAGATTGTTCTAGCTGTTCTATTATTACCCTCATAGTCATTATATCCACATTACTGATGATTATTCATCAAACTTCTCATTGTGTAAATATTTTGTGAACGCACCAATAGTCCACACTACAATCTCGTCGCAATATCTTTATGAAGGTATTAGGTAAAAAATATTGTGATATTTGATGTTCTATGTACACATACTAATTTATTTATTTATTATTTTCCACAGATCCTTTCCAGGTATGTTCACTAAGGGAAGAGGCGTTTTCCTGCAGCGACTCTTGTTCCTGCCAAGAGACCCAAACCCATGGAAGTTGCTTTCCACCTGTTACCAAAGACGTATGAAAAAACTCCAACAGGGCCAGAGCAACTAGTGCACTTGCAGGCGGGGCTAGGCCGCAGGACTGCTAACTTAGATGAGAGCACAACACACAATGAGGTAAGCAGATGCTATAGATGAGTTATAGTTGTTGCTATAGTTGTACGTAACATATGAATAATTCTGTTGATTAGTGCTGCACCACTCCTATTTGAGATGTGGCAACTAAGACTGCCAACTATTTAGTGCAATTGACTGGAAAAAACCTACTCTGGCAGTGAGCCATCTCATCTGAGTTTACACTGGCATGACGATGAAAAGATAATGACTGAATCTTAAATATTGGGTGACCTATGCCTTTAACATATTCTGCTTGAATGTATTTGGAAAGTTTTTGGCCTGGGCTTTAATTCTCCAACCAAGCTAACTCATTTGAAATTATTAAGCTTTAATGCATTAAAGCAAGACTGACATTCTAGTACAATGAGCTTTCATCTCAGCAGATTTCAGAAGGAATTCATGTTTATTAATCGTGAACGGTTGGCTTTTTTAACTAAAACTGTTTTGTGTTACTGTTTTTCTTACAGTTATGTCATACACTCAAAGTTGTATTTCCAAAACTGGAGAAAATAACTGGTGGTTGGCTGCTTTACAAACCAGCAGGTTTGCAAAACTTTGTGATCATTTTTGAAATAGTGTCAGCTTTTATTTTGACTAAATGCTCCCCAAATAGAGCTGTGAATTGCTCTTTTCATTTTTGTTTAATGTGTTTTGGCATGCCATTCTCTGTTATCAACTGAATGAATGTAGGTCATGTCTAACTGTAAACTTTTTAAATAAAAATAAACAAGTTAATTTATCCATCAAGCCATTAAAGGATTTTTTTCCCATTGAAATGTTCTCTATAGGTGGATGGGGTACACGGACACTCTCCCTTGTGGAACCTGATGATACTGGCTACACAGGCAAGATCATAAAGGCTGCAAACCGGGGGGGTAGATCTACTTTTTTCATAGCTCCAATGCAAGAAGAACTCGACACAACTCCACTGCTACTAACGGATGAAGCATTCAGTAGCATGCATAAAGCAACGTGCCAGAAGTGTGGAGCAGCCATTCCACTGCAGCTCCTGACAGAACACATCAAGTCTTGCAACATCATTGATGTTGACAGTGATGAAAACCTGGCTGTTGTGGAGGATAGTTGTGAGCAGGGTAAGATAACATGTACAAATTAATTCATTTCCATTATCATTACACGCAGATGCCCTAAAATCACAATTCATGGTAAGGACACATGGCTTGTTGGAAAATACAGTTATGACATAATGCAGTGGTTCTTGCTGACCTCTGATTTTTGTTCATCTTTGCCAACTTACATTTCACAGCACCAGAGCAGCAGCCCTGTCCTCTGTGCATGGACATGTATCAAGCTGACTCCATTGAGGCACATGCTGCTTCATGTGGGGAAAGGTATATTGTATATACTTTTTTCAATAACCAACAGATGTAAAACATTAAATCAGTCTAACAAATAGAATATAAGTGTAGAAAAAGTATGTTGTGAATGTTGGCAGTGCAGGAAATGAGGTGTTGGATAGGATTACTGTCATTGAAGAACAAGCAGCAATGCCTGGACCATCCGGAAGTAGCGCAGCAGTTACAGAAGGTAGGTCCTAATCAGGGTTAGCTGTGGGGCAAGAATGTTAGGGAGGGTAAACTGTGGTGGTGCAGTAAAGAGTAGCATATCCAACATGGCATAGTCTACACCTTATTGGTTTAAATTAAATACTTTTCTTAAATTGTATCCTTGCTAAGGAAAGGTCAAAAGGTAAATTCTGATAAATAGGGAGCTGTAACTGATGAACTGTCTACTGAATGTATTTCTCAGAGCTGGCTTTCTTTACAGGCAGGTCTGACGTGAAAGCTTAACTGATAACATTTTAATTTTGTCTCTTACTAGAGTGGCTCACTGTTCAGGATCCTACCAGGGCCATATCTCAGTTTCGAGATGATGTTCTGAGCATTCATGAATCGAAGAATCCCTTACTTCTCAGCATGTATATTAGAAGCAGCCCTGCGGAACAGGACGCTGCACTAATCTGCTTCTATAAGAAACCCAACGTTGAATGGGGACGACCCTTAAAATGCAGACTTGAAGGTAGCTTCAATTACATGTCATAGTAGTCTAGGAAAACTTAAACCTATTGCTTTTGCCTTTTACTATAGACCATTTCAGTTGTAAACTTAAACATTCTAAATGTGTCCCAGTTTATTACCAGTTGCCGTGTATGTGAATGTCATCAGTTGACAGGAGGTAAACATCGACATAAGCTGTTGCCAAGCAATGCAATTCCGTTTAAATGGTCTATATCAAACCCTGAATTGTGTTACAGGTGATGCAGCCATTAGTGTTAGTCATTAGTCATTGTTAGCCATTAGTGTTAGTCGCTTTTTCTTCTCAACTTGCATGGACAAGCTGAACTCTGGGTTTTGCATCAACTTTGGTATGTAGAATGCAGCTTTGTGTAAGATGAATTGTAAATAACTATTTACAGTTGCTTTGCAGGAGCAAGTCTTGTGTTTAAAATGTATTTTAAATATAACCTACATTTCTGTTATTTTTTTATATTTTTGTTCACCTAAGCCTGAAAGTTCTAAAAGTCATAATAAATATGTTATGCCTACAATGGCAAAACAATTGTAATCTTAATAAAAATGTTAAAATAAATACAACTACCCAATGGTAGTGTTGGATGTAGTACTTAATTTAACTTTGTTTCAATGTAACATTTCTTATACAGCAAACACTGACATAACACGGCTCTTTGATGGAGAGCCAGGCCATTTAGTGCCCTCAGCCTCTCACTTTCTCGTTGAAAGTGACATGTTCATCATGGCTGGGAGAATGGTGGGACACACCTTCGTGCATGGAGGACCATGCCTGTCGGGGCTCAGCCCTGCTGTTGTTCATGTCCTGCTTGGAGGAAGTCCTGAAACTGCCACTGTCACACTAGAGGACTGTCCAGACATAGACATCCGAGCAACAATCAGGCTTGTATGTTTTCAATCAAACCCCATTATTTCTTCACTTATTTATACATTGAAGCAAGAAAGTCTCCACCCTTTTAGCTATTTTTTTCTGTGTGCTGTATTATATTGTGGAAAAAAAGCTAAAGGGGTGGTGAATTTCTACACCCATCGTGTAGTGTCCAACGTCCGTCACACATTTTTTCATTCTATTTCCTCTTCCCTCTGTGTCTTTAAGCTTGAAGGGGAATCCGAAATCTCTGATGAGGGTAAAATAAATGTCCGGGACTTGGCCTTCGCCTGGGACCTCCCTTGCCTTACCGGAAATAACCGCAGATGGCTTTTTGAGAAGATGTTGATCCATGCTGTGCGTGAAATGTTATGATATATTGACAATGCAGAACTTTATCCCAAAGCTATTTCTGTGGATGAGATAAAAAGTGTTCCACCTTCTGTCTGTTATTGTCAATAACAGGTAATTGGACGTGTCATAAGACAAATTAAGCAGCTCAGACGTGGTCCTAAGGAGACGTCAATGTGGGCCATGCTGAGTCAACGCCCTGACACAGTGGCCCTGCTATTTCCACAAGAGGGAGCAGTGGATTATAGCCCTGCGGTAAATTTGTCCAATTTTATCTTTTTGTATATAATATATATTCATATCATGTAATATTTTTAAATCCAAGCCTTTCTTGAATGCTATTATATGACAGAGGTTTCATATCTTTATCCAATATCAGTCATTGTGCCTGTAATCATTAGTTTATTAGTTCCTAGTTTTGTTTAGGTTTGTCGAACATGGCTCGCTTGAGGAAAAATGAATCCCATTTTAAGACAAATCTCTCATACTAGTGTCCGGTAACCATGTTGTTATTTTATATGGCTGTCAATGTAGGTCATTCTTCAGCGCATCACCTGGCCTCGTGATGATGATGATGATGAGGACGATGACTGTTCAGTTGACACAAAATGCCGTGTATCAGGATATCTTCGCCGCTTCATTGAAAATGGTATGTTTACAGTTAGAAATAATGCCAACATGCTATTGAAGTAAAGTATGATGATATTAAGTATAAGACCTAATATGTTACATTCCTGATCTTACAAACCTGTGTGCGCTCCACTTTTGGATATGCTTTCTACTCCACTCCGACACAACTGTCCTACACATGCAGGTGTGCAAAGACACTCAAGTAAAACAAAAAAGCTACTTTACAACTATTTCTTACATTACAGATAACAAATGTGATGCTTTAATTGACTATTACAAATTATTTGAATTTCCTAACTTACTTTTCTTTATTGTCGCAACCATTCATTTAAACAACTTTTGGTTAATCCACAGCGTCACCTGATGTAATGACCAATCTGGTGATATTCTGGACCGGGTGGGAGATTCTGCCACGGAATAATCTGTCCATTGAGGTGGTCAACGGCAGCTTCCCCACTGCCTCAACCTGTTATGAGACCCTGCGCATCCCAGGGCATTACAAGGACTATGCATCCTTTGAACATGTAATGCTGGCTTGTATTGGCACTTGTCAAACAGAATTTGGTCTTGTGTAATGTGTTGGTAGAAGGCAGAGGTGTTCATTGACTCCAGTGTTAAGTCTGTTTCTGCTGTGGAAATACTAAATAAAGTTCTCCCTTTCTTCGGTTCAGAATCAGCCTGTTGTATATTGAACAGCCCAGTATGTGTATTAGGGATCACTACCTGCTTCTCATGGCAAATACTGATAACTTCATAACCTGTAGTTTACACATACCTGAGGGTCTACAGATCAGCTAAAGGACAACAACCAATCAGAGCTGAGGGTAGTCAGAAGCACCTGTCAATCGTGCTCATTAACTCCAAGAAACTAATCAAATAGGCAGCAGTGATCAAATATCAAACGTGACCTTTTTTTAGATTGTCTTTCCCATTTTATGAATTGACCAATTGTATCTTTCATATTTTATGTGTCAAATCTGACATCACTATTGTTCGCATAACAACAAACAAAAGAATATTTGTCATTCTTCAAATGTTAATTTATTATTTTTCCTATACAATTTGAAGATTCCAAAAGCAGAAAGGTTGTCTGCCATAAAACATAATACATCTGTAAAATCACAAGGAGACAAAGGTGAAGTGGATGCTTGTGCCACATTTGGATACATTGGAGAAAAACACCTAAGCTCTCTTTCTCAGTCATCAGATAGAACATGCTCACAAAATGGAACAGCAGCAATGTAGATATCAGAGCCAAAGGACTGGGATGCAGCTCGTGGGTCAACAGCTTCTCTTAAAGAAGCCATTTGTCCATCAGTCAGTGGGCTCTCTGTGTCTGGGACAATGACACTAGAGTGGCCATCAGGAGCAAATCCACTGTTCTCCCACTCAATCTGAGGAATATCCACACCCTAAAAATAACAGAAATAGAAAGCCTCATTTATTTGCGGTATTAATTATCTTGATAGACAGCAGCAGTAAGGTGGACACTTGTGGCTTTTGAAATCTGTATGCTCCTACTCATTTATCTTTCTATTTTCACATACTGTAACTCATTTTCTAGGAACATAAGCCCTAAACCACTGCCCATGTTGTTTAGTAAATGTTCATGGCTCTTATTCTGACCTACACTTTTGTAAGTCACTCAGCTAAATATGAATTGTTCCCACATGTAATGGTAAGATAAATTACATTTTCTCAGCAGGAAACCTTTCTTATGCATTTGACCCATCCCAACTTGTGCCATACAGTATAACTGCTATAGTTAAAATATTTTCACCGCTTTACCTTGCTGTCAGATAGCCCTTTCTGACGGGGAACTGAGGCTTTATAGCCACCTGCTCTCTTAAAAGGGTGCTCTGGGCTGAAAATACAGGGGAAGTTTCAATGGAGTTGGTAGGTGTTTGCAAGAGCATGGATAGCGGTTTCAGTTTTTTAGTGGCTGAGGGATCAAGACTATTGAAAGCACTGAAGTTGTAAAAATTGGACAAAGTTACCTCCATGTTATCAGAAACTGGAATTAGGTGATGGATTTGTCCCAGCTCCAACAGCTGATTTGGGGTCACATGGCCTTCTGCTCTTATAGGATGATTTGCCCAGCCACTGCGGAATGTGTCCAGGTCATCTTGTAGCCGTGGCAGGAACACATAATGGCAACAGAAGAGGTGTGTAGCATTGCCAATGTTGAGGAAACCCTCTTCTTCGAGGTAGTGTAGAGCATCATAGTAGATGACTGTAACAGCTGTCCACATGTCTCTCCATAGCCTCTCTATCCTGGACAATTGCAAGTTTACCAGAACATTTTAAAGTTAAAGGACAGGGAATTGCAATATCTGGATTTGTGGCAGATTTGACATGGAATTATTAAGTATTTATAATAAACAACTGATAATGTAAGATCTCAGCAGTTTCTTTTGTTGAGAAAAGGTTTCCATCAACAACAAATGCACACAGATGGATTTTCTTTTAATGCAATCCGATGATCTGCTGTTCAATGTGTGTATTTCTTTATCTACCATTTCTTGAGTCATTGTCAGTCCAAAACAAGAGATGTTTTTGTAACATGTTTCTAAAACATTATCTGGTGTTATTTACATACTAAGACAATAGGTGTGACATACAAATGTAATGTGACACACTGCCCAGCAAAAACTCTACACATTTTTATTTTTGCAGCAAGGAAGAGATTGTTTAATTTGCATGATGAAGAGATCACAGTTCAGTACCCTTTGACTGACATCAACTCAGAGGAATTGTACCTCACACTATTGCAGATAACAGTACTGCTTCTAGTAGGTATATGTGTAGCAAACAGTACAGTTCTGGCATGGCAGCAGTGAGATGGTGTCTTTCAACTAACAATCTCTGATCTTTTGGACTTACCGTTGGTTGTGAACACTCTTGCCGGATATAAAGCTGCCCCTTCCAGTGCCACGGACTGTAAACATGAGATGTGCAACGTCCACATGTTCCACCCCCTGATCAGCTCGTACCCTAAAATACACCAACAATTACAACAAAGACCACATTAAGTGTTGCTTTCAGTGGCAGCTTCCCCACTGCCTCAGGACATATTTACCTAAGAGGGAAACCAAACTTCTCGACAGATTCTTGGAAGAAGGCCAGGTTGGTTGACGCGAGGTTGTTGGATGCTGCACCAAGATACATTATCTGCAGATAAATGCGGTTATACCAATTGAATGAGACAAAAAGCTATATGCAGTAAGCACGATAAACATGTATATGTATCCCTGAAAACTGCTTACCTTCTGCGAAAAGCCATCTATGCCACCAAAGATGACAATGTTGTAGCTGTAAGTTACAAATACAATAAGTTACATTTTCAAAAGCATCTGATATCATCTTCAATTGAGGACATGTGTGTTCATATGGGCAGTAACATGAAAGAAGCACTATTAAATCAAAATGTTATGATGAATAGGCCTATAGTAAAATATATTTATATTATTAGTCAATTATAATACTTTTATGAATTAATCTGACCTTAAGAGTAAAATAACTTACCGGATTAGTTTATGATTTGTGTCAATGTGCATCAAAGACTGGGGGCTTGGAACTGAGTAGGTTCTTCGAACAATGCATCCTAAGTTGTTCATACGGGATATGACTCCGATGGTGTCAACACGGTGCAAGGAAGCTCTAACCCGGTCATACTGCACCCGCAGTCCTTGAGCTTGGAGAAGTGCTTTCATCATTCGATATCCAGAGTGAGGCTGCCTGGATTTAATGTCTCTCACACACTGGTCCAATTCCTCATCTGTAAGGGTGCTGTACAGTTCCCTGACTGAGAAATCAGACTCAGCCATGCGTCGGTGCATTGTGCGTCTTGAAACTCCCAAAAGTGCAGCTATGCATGGGATGGACAGATTGAGCTCCAATAGGCTGTGAATATACTCCGGAGAAATTACCATTCTCGGTCGTCCAACTGGTCCTTGCTCAAATTGCACAGTTTTAATGTATTGCTTACTTTTTTCTTTTTCCACGTTTATAAGCCTATGGAGCTCTCTCATGGCATCTCACACGGGCAGAGAAACAGCTACCTGCCTGGACATAGCATTTAAGAAGACCAATTATTGTGTGCAAATCAATTCTAAGTAGTCCAAATCCAGAGGCATTTGTCCAACAATATGCTCTAAACGAGAGTAGAGACGTCCCAAAATATGATCAAGCAGTAGTTCCTGTGAGAGGAAAATTAGAAGGAAGGAAATCAGCTGCATTAGTTAACAAAATAGAACATTTAAAAGCTTAATTTTGCCAAGATTTTAAATGCAGTTTTAGGGCTCTACATTCGTCTTTTCATGCCAATTTCTACATCGCCTCCACTACAATATCTTGAATATAGTAGTTTTTACATCACTAAATGTATCTGACAGCTTTAACATTGTAAAGGTGTCACTTTGGGCTCTGGGTAATTATGACAGCATTTCCTACTATTTTGAGAGTTGTAACCATAGGTTTTAACTAACCAGAGCTTCATCTATTATTGGAGAAAATAATCAGCATATTAAACCATTATGAAAGTTATCATTATTTAGGTCATTGTTCAAAATGAGCTCCAACTACAACAGTTAGTTGTCAACCATTTTACATTAATGCATGGTAATAATAATAATAATAAAAAACAAATAATATCATATAATAGTATATCTTTCTTCAACTTGAAATATTTTAACAACATTTTTCGGATTATTCTTCCATTATTTTACTGAGCTAACTTTGACTGAATTAAGCAATCATACACGAGAGGCCGTTCTTGAACGTCATTATTGGTACGACAGTACTGCGGCAGGTCCGTACGCCTGTACTGGAGTACCAATAATGACGTTCAAGAACGGCCTCTCGTGTATGATTGCGATTCTATTACACAAACTATCATTGTAATCAACAATATCGTAAAATAATTTCATAATGTGGGCTAATTTGCTCCCAAACCTACACTTTCTGCTTGAGTTAATCTCCGTCAGAAAGTAGTTCCTATAAAGTAGTTCCCTTGGTAACGCTAGCCGATCAATCGAACACTCCTGCTTCCCCGCTTACAGTTATTGATATAATTATAGTAAATAATATATTATTAACCAATTTATTGAAAACAATTTATTGACAACAATTCTTGAATTAGGCTATTTACATATTTAACATTTTGGCTTCAGAATGAAGGTGGATGTTCATGCTGCCATTAAAAGTGCAATTTTTGAAACAGCTCTCTATGAACTCCATGCCAGACTTTTTTTCAGGTGGTGCTGTGGTGTTCACGGGTAGGTTATAGGAAGAGGTTTCCTCCAGTGGCCGTTTCATGGCGTGTCCCGGACCGGCAAAAAGCGCGTTGCTCCACATCTTTCTGTTGTCCAGAGATGGAGCCCAGTAGCTGCGAAGCGATGACTCATTTTTATGAGCCCTTAGTGTTTCTAACACTTCCATAAAACTGGCGAAGTAAGCTGTTTAGCTCCGGTTTGGACACTGTTCCGAAATCCACCATTTTCTCCTGGGTTTTTAAGAACGCTTTGAGACATTTGACAGCCCAGGTAGTTGACGCCAATGTACTCTTTTCGTTGCGACTTTTTTCCAACGCACTCAGCTCGTCAGTTGAAACAGCCGCAAATCTTTCGTTGGTTTTGTGGTCTGTGTCCATGTCCAACCATTCATCAATACTGAGGCCCCCCAACAAATCAAAATTAACTTTAAAATCTGACATTTTGTAGCTAACGATTTTCCAACGAGAGACAATGTAACAGTGTAACGGCTGTGTGTCGCTATGGAAACCACTACTTCTCCGCTGCTTTCTTGTTCCAGTTCGAAAAGCATTTGCTTTTCGGCCCAACGGTAGGCCTATACTGTTTTTCTCAGACGCGGAGGGATACTGACTTGTTGTGAAAAGGCACGTTCTATTTGATCGTTGTTTGATCGTGGAATCAAACACGTCTATTGACCAATCAGAGAGCTTGCAATCATACACGAGAGGCCGTTCTTGAACGTCATTATTGGTACGACAGTACTGCGGCAGGACCGAGGCGCTTGCGCCGAGGTCCGTATGCCTGTACTGGAGTACCAATAATGACGTTCAAGAACGGCCTCAAGTGTATGATTGCGATTCTATTACACAAACTATCATTGTAATCAACAATATCGTAAAATAATTTCATAATGTGGTCTAATTTGCTCCCAAACCTACGCTTTCTGCTTGAGTTAATCTCCGTCGGAAAGTAGTTCATAGAAAGTAGTTCCTATGGTAACAATAGCCGATCAAACACTCCTGCTACCCCGCTTACAGTTATTGATATAATATAATTATAGTAAATTATATATTATCGCACTTTCTCCGGTCCCCGAGATTGGGCTTTCAGTAGCTCTGGAGAGAGCTTTCGTACCTGTGGCCACTAACGGTCATCATTTCTCTGCTTTGTTTCAAGACCCGCATCAGAAAGCTTTTGAATGGTGGTACTTCTCCAGTTGGTCTACCTGCTCTTCACGTAGCTCTGCATGTCGTCGTTTATGTGCTTTTTTTTCTGGAGCTAGGCACTCCTCAATCCACTCCTCCATAGTAAGACCCCCCCGGAGGTCGAAGTTAATCTTAAATGTTTCCATCTTATGCTTTGTAAGTTTGTTTCGTAACGGAAGAAATTTAAATATATTTATAAAACTGACAAGTCAAATCAAGCAATCTGATTGGTCGATAGTGTTTTTACGGACCTCTTTGATTACAGATTTAAAAACAACGTTGCTTGATTTAAAAGTAGCACAATTAATTATGTCAAACCTTGGAAAGTATCTAGATATCCCTGCCCTAATGCCAAAGGAACTGCACACTGAATATGTTTTGCCGTTTGATGTCTATGTCTGGACCGCTGTGTAAAAAGGAGGGTTTCTGCCCCGTTACTTCTCCACTGCTTTCTTGTTCCAGTTTGAAAAGCAAACTGCTGCCCAACGGTAGATACTGTTTTTCTCAGACGCGGAGGGATACTGACTTGTTGTGAAAAGGCACGTTCTATTTGATCGTTGTTTGATCGTGGAATCAAACACGCCTATTGACCAATCAGAGAGCTTGCTCACACCTATGTGTTATAGAATTAACGTTTAAATATGGGGCTTTTGTAAGAGAGATGTTGTACAATGTAGCACTAGTAATTGTACTGAAGTAATTTATCTGAAAACTTAATTCACCATGATTACTTCTAACAATGCATGGATGTTCTTACACCCCCTTTAACTAGTCAATTTGACTTATCTAACCGAAGTGAGACGTTATGTATCGTAACGTTACTTTGAAAACCATCAGGCGGGATCATTCACCGCCCCCCCCCCCTACACACACACACTCACACAAGGACACGGTAACGTCGCTATTCACTTGAATGATAACTACGGAGCTTACTGACAGAAAGGCAAAAGGCTACTTCACTCATTTAGCTAGCTAATGTAAGATACAAATGCTGTCGAGCCCTCACTGCTTGTAAAATAAAGAGCACAAACTGACTACTTACCCGAGCCCCACTGTTCTCCGTCATTTTTCTCCCGGGTTGTTGTGATCACATGACTGACAAAGCCGTGCTCTGATAGGCAGGGGCGGATCTACCGGGGTGGCATGGGGTGGCAACTGCCACCCTAAACAATAGCCTTGCCACCCCAGCTGCCACCCCAGTTGGCATCTTTGTTTTGAAAGAAAAGTTGTGGCTCATCGGACATTTATGAGAGAAAATCTCTAATGTCCGAGTGCAAGTGAATGCAGCACAAGACGCGAGTCTTGTAACCCCTCCCCCGGCCCTGGCGCGAGAGTGGAAATATGATTGGTGGCGAATTCACTTGAACTGGGGGACGGCGCAAAACGAGAAGCCTTTCGGACTCAAGTAGACGGAAGGAATGAGGTAGTTGCGGTCTACAATGACAGAGAAGAGAATGTCAAGTTTGGCTGTACTCAGCAATGAATCAAAACGCACTACAGCTGTTGATCTTAATACGTTTGTGAGGCGTTTTGCTGAACAAAATAGTAATCGCCGCATTCAGCTGTAATAGGCATGCCAACTTGTTGCTCTGCTCACGGATGACTCGATGAGCATACAAAACTGTTAAGATGATGACCTTGTATGCGTGTATATATATATTTTTTTCTTTGTAGGGTTCTGCCCCCAAAAAACAGTTTTAAGTCCTGAGAAAGTCAAATAAGACGGTGTGTAAAACTACACTGCCCAGCCAAAAAAAAGTAACCACTTTGATTTAACTAGGCCAGTAGGTAAGGACTTTCCACTGGATAATAACTGCAGCGATGTTTATGTTTTAGCTGAATACACGTTTTTTAAGCCTAACTGATGCAGTTAGTCACTTCTTTAATATTTGTTCTTTCTGATGTAAAGTCAAGGTTGTAACTGTATATCAATAATGATATAATTACTTGTTTTTCAAATTTGAAGGAGGGTGAGCAAGCATCTTGATGAACATTCATCATTAACTCCTCCAAAAAATATAGTTTATTCAATACTAAATGAATATGTGAATCATAACAGTTCTTCACTATATCTGTAAAGCGTCTTTGAGCACCTATAAAAGCGCTAACAAATTAAATCTATTATTATTATTATTATTATTATTTATTAACAGTGATTGACAGCTGATAGGAATAATATGATTGTTAATATTATCATATTCATACAGACAAACATCGATGAGACAGTTAATTAATGTACTTATTGCAGCAGTCTTCATAGATTTGGTACCCCTGCTGGTCTAAGAGTGAAACAAACTCATTCAGTTATTGTTCAGTTAAAATTCATTAAATTACGTCTGCCACCTTATATATGTATATGTAAGGCTTTACTGATGTGCCACAATAATATCACCTATGTCATTGAGTTAAAATATTAATATTGTGGCTTTCCAAGTTAACATTGATTGTAGGGGTGTAACGGTTCACAAACATTTCGGTTCGGTACGTACCTCGGTTTTTAGGTCACGGTTCGGTTCGGTACGTTTTTGGTACAGCAGAAAAAATTATCACAAAACACTAAATATATATATGTATTTTTTTTAATTATTATTAAACTGTGAATAATGTATTCAAATAAATACAAAATATAATAAAATAAACATTAAGGTGCAGCATTTCGATGAACTGAAATAATCTGTATTTGAACTTTACTGTACTAGTACTCACAAAACATAAACTATTAGTTTTGGGTTTTTAATTATTATTAAACTGAATATTCACTCAAATAAATACAAAATATAATAAAATAAACATTAAGGTGCAGCATTTCGATGAACTGAAATAATCTGTATTTGTACTAATACCTAAGCAGCCAGTTTGACATTATGACTTGCTTGTCATTGTATTTTCATGTTTTTTTAAAGAAAAATTAACTTGTCCACATTGCTTGCTGAAAGGGCAGATCTGCTGGCACTAACCATGTCTCCTGCTGTGGAGAACACCCTCTCGCTAGGGACAGAGGTAGCAGATACAGCCAGATAGCGCTTTGCTAACACGGCAACATAAGGATATTTGGCGTTTGTAATAGCTTTGGCTCGGTCTGAACTTTTTGCGAGTGGTGGAGGCTTAAATGCTAGCGGGAGTTAGGTTTGCACTTCAGTCTTTTTTCTTTTGGTACTGGTGATATTCACGTTCGGGTGATGCCTTTTCAAATTAGTGTGCAAGTTTGATGTATTGCCAGCCGCGTAACCAATTTTAGTTGAACAATGCCGACA